AAGGCATAAGCTATAAGATCTACATACTCAAGTCTCTGAGGTGGCTTGATGATTCTTGTCAACCTCTCTCTTGCTAGCAGGTAGTAATTATCATTATCCTCATCTTCGACAATAACTTATGCTTCTTCTTCGACTTTATCTGGGGTACGCAGTTCAGTATCAACATGCTCCACCTTAATAGGAATCTCTCCTTGTTTTAGCTCTTCGTCAGCATTATCAGTTTTCTTAAAAGCCATCTTTGCTTCATTGAAAACTACATCTTAACTGGTGATACACCTCCTGTGACTTGGCTCTAGGAACCATAGTCTATAAGCTTTAACTCCTTCAGGGTATCCCATGAACATGTATTTCAGGGCTCCAAGTTCGACCTTGTCTTGCCTAATGTGAGCATAGGCCATGCATCCAAATACTCTCAGTTTGTCAAGACTAGGTGGATGTCCCGACCAAACTTCTTCAGGCGTCTTCATATCTAACACATTCGAAGGACATCTGTTTATCAGATATGTTGCTGTCGAAACAACCTCAACCCAAAACACCTTCTATAACCCAACACTAGCCAACATGCATCTAGCTCTTCCCAAAATAGTTCGATTAAACCTTTTTGCCAAACCACTTTTTTGTGGAGTCCCTGTAGTAGTTTTGTGCCTTAGAATACCTAAGGCAACACAAACTGTCAAGCGCCTTATTGAAAAATTCAAGGCCATCGTCGATTCTCAACCTGTTGACCTTTTTGCCAGTCTGATTTTTGACCAGAGTCTTCCAACCTTTGAAATTCTCAAAATTTTCATCCTTAGTCTTCTGGATAAATACCCATAACTTTATGGAATAGCCATCAACTATGGATAGAAAATACCTTGCTCCTGAATGTGATGGACACCTTGGAGGCCCCTAAAGATCAGCATGGATGTAATCAAGGGATCCATGAGTTCTTTGTTTGCCTCTGTTGAACTTCACTCTGTAAGATTTTCCAAGTACACAGGGTTCACAAAATTCCAACTTTTCGACTTTGTCTCCTCCAAGCAAATTTTGTTTTCCTAATTCGACAAGACCCCTTTCACTAACATGGCCCAATCTCATGTGCCAAATTTCTATTTTCGACAACGGTTTCGTGGTTGCAAAATTTGTCGAACCAGTTACAACTTCAGTCTCAAGGTTATACAAGCCTTATTTCTTCATGCCTCCCAAGACTTCCTTCGACCCCTTCATCACTCTTAGGACACTTTTATCTCCTTAAAAAACATATCCCTTTTTGTTAAATTCACCAAGAGAAATCAAATTTCTCTTCAAATCAGGTACATACCTGACTTCAGTCAACAACCTTACTGACTCATCATGGAGCTTGAGTCTCACAGATCCAATACCTGTAACTTTGCAATATTTGTTGTTTCCTAGCAGCACTGATCCACCATCTTGATTGCATAGCTCCTCGAATAATTCTCTATTTTGAGTCATGTGTCAAATGCAACCTGAATCCATAATCCACTCCTTTCTTGAGTCGCTGCTTGAAACTACAAGAACATCAGATGATTCAAAATTATCTTGAACAATGATTGTGTTGCCATTATCTTTACCTCCATGTTCTTTCTGGTGTTTAGGGCACACTTTTCTTGTGTGACCCTCCTTCTTATAGTGATAGCGTCGAATACCATATGGCTCACCACTATAAGACTTCTGCTGACTTTTACCTTTCTTCTTTTTGAACTTACCATCCTTTTGCAAGAATTTTACCTTAATAGTCAAACCTTCGTCCATCATTGAAGGTTTATACTTCTTTCGTTTGTTCAGATCCTTAGAATATAATGTTGATTGAACTTCTTCAAAGCTCAGGGACTCCCTTCCTTATAGGAGAGTTTCTTTGAAGTGAGCATATGTTTTGGGAAAAACACACAATAATAACAATGCTTGATTTTCGTCATCGATCTTCACATCAACATTTTCAAGATCAAGAATCATCTTGTTGAACATATCCAACTGCTCAGCCAACACTTTGTCTTCACTCATCATGAATGAATACAAAGCTTGCTTTATGTAGAGTCGATTCACCAAAGGTTTGGTCATGTACAAACTTTCAAGTTCCAACCATAACCCCGATGTCGTAGTCTCCTTTGATACCTGTCGAAGAACCTTATCACCAAGGCTCAATAATATTGCATTGTGGGATTTATCTATCATGGCCGTCTTTTCTTTTTCGGTTAATGCAACGTCCATGGCCGTCTCTCCCATCAACACTTCCAAACAACCTTGTTGAACCAGTAGGGCTTTCATCTTCAAGCGCCACAGACCGAAGTCGTTCACTCCGGTGAACTTTTCAATCTCATACTTTGTTGAAGGCATCTTCCTCCATGCTCACTGCACCAAGTTGTTGTGAATTAGGATGCCTTAAAACAAAATATACCCGATTTCTTTATGATCAAGAAACACACAAGGGTTAGTGTTAAGAAAAATCAAGGAGAACACAAGGATTGGTTATAACTGTTGTTCTTTACTTTCTCTATAAAACAGATTACAAGTACTCAAGAATAACAAATAATCCTCTTACCCTAATTAGGTTTTGTCACACTACAAATGAGAGACTAGTATGCTATTTGTAATAAACCTAACATACTAAACTAATGGGCTTTTTAACGATTACCCATTACAAGCTAACTTAGGGTACAATCTAACTTAAACAATTGGATTCTTAACACAAGGCCCAATTTGAGAACTGCGTACTAGAACACAAATTGACTACAGCATGTAAGTCTTCATCAACAAAACATAAGCCAACTATGCTAACTAGAGTTCGATCCAATATCTCACATTTAACAACCGTCATTAAATCATCCGCTTTTTAAAAATATATATTTCTGCTTTTTGAATTTTTTTTTCCTTTTTTAACCTGTATTTTTGTGAACCGTATCAGAATAGAAACAAAAATTATATCATAACAAATAATTGTATTGTATTACATCAAATTCATACACTGGATTAAGAACCAAACATTGTATATATATTAAATTAAAATAAAAATGGCACAAAATAACCTACAAACATTATATAACATCACATAATTGTATCTTATATAGTGTTTTGGTTTCTTTGTCTCTTGGTGTCTTGTCTCTTGGTATGTTGACTTTAAACTCATACAATATCAAATAATCATACTTGTTAGTAATAAATATAGTTAAAAATAATAACTTACATTAAATTATGAATAAAGAATAAAATACTTACTTGTTAAATTTCCCGTATGCCTTCATTATGATCGATACGAATAGCATGCACATCATCTCTATCAACTTCATCATTTGTGGTAGGCACTTTTGTTGTTTAAGAAGGAGTATAAGGAATATAAAAACTTTCATCATTACTAGGAATGTCTTTTCTTCGAAGAACAATTGACCATTTCTCCGATGTGTCTGAAGTGTCGGTCACATAGAAAACTTGTTTTTCTTGTAAAGCCATGATGAATGGTTCGATCACAAATTTTCCTTGCCAAGATCAACCCGACTAAATCCTAAGTCATCAGTTTGTATATCATTAATATTATTGGTAACCCGCTTGCATTTTAATAAAGACACTTTGAAAATAACATAACTAATCTCCCAAATCTCCTCAATGACACCATAGAATGCATTAGATGCCAATATCAGATTCTTATCTTTCGAACTAGAGAAATACATGGATTCGGCCTCAACAATAACTCTATTATTTTGCATTGTACTAAGATCATATTTTGGTTATGTATAAAAGGTATAATGACCAATGTCATATTCAGTCCAAGTTATCACGTTAAATTTTGGTATGAACAACAACCATTTAATTGTCTTGGATGCACTATGATATTTTGATATGCTTTTATTAAACCAATCTAGAAATTTCTTGTTATACTCGATCAATAAAAACTTATCACTCATTCATGGATATCTTTTTTTCAAAACCTTTTGTAAGTAGCCACGTAAGGTTGAACTTCTTCAAGATTATTCAATATATAGAAATGTGCTTGAATAACTACATCCCGAGCCATTGACTTAACATTTAAGCCTTGAATACCTATACCTTCAGTGTCAATGTGACGAGACTTTAAAATTCCTATAGACTTTGCTTCCGACAAATAATTTGTACAAAACTCAACAGCTTCTTCTGTGATGTACCTTTCAACAATTGATTCTTCTTATATCCTTTAAAGATACTTATGTATCGCCCTACTAGATACATCCAGCTTAAATAAGCTGAACCACGAATTCTTATTTTTCTGACTAGATAAACAAGTAAGTGAACCATAATGTCAAAAAATGATGGAGGAAAATACATCTCCAATTGACACAAGATTATGATAACTTCATATTCTAATTTATTAATTTTTTAAAATCAAGAAATTTACCACATATAGCATTGAAGGACAAATACAATCTAGTTATAGTTACCCTCATCATACTTAAAAACATATACTTACGCTTCATGCACAACCAAGGAGATAGGTTGTAAATCATGAGAAGAAAAGGCCACAAAGAATGGTTAATACTCAGATTACCGAAGGGGTTCATTCTATCGGTGGCAAGCCCAAGCCTAAGGTTTCTTGGCTCAGTGCCAAAATCCGAAAACAACGAATCAATTTTCTTCCATTGCAAAGAATCAGCTATATGGCATATGTTTCCATCACATTTTCTTTCATCTGCATGCCATCTAATATTCTTTGCGTCATTCGCATTAGCAAAAAGTCTCTTGAATATTGAAATTAATGGCAAGTACCATAACATTTTAGCAGGAGGCCTTTTCCTACTAACATTGTCATTGTCATTGTCATCACCATTGTTGTCCTTCAGCTTGTAATGCGACACCCCATATTCCGGACATTGATCCAAATCTTCATACTCTTTCCTGCATAATATGCAGTCATTAGGCCATGCTATTATTTCGATATACTCCAAACCCACCAGACACAATATCTTCTTGGTATCATAACAACGATCAGACAAACTGTTATCTTCAGGTAGCATTTATTTTAGCAAATAAAGCAATTATGTGAAACTTTTACCAGACAACCCATTTTTAGCTTTCAGATTAAACACTTTAAAAATAGCAGACAATCCTGTAAAACTTGTGCATCCTTTATATAAAGGGGTGTCCTTATCACTACATAAAGTATCATAAATATAAGATTTCTTAAAAGAAGATTCTCCAATATCACAGAATATATCTTCTAGATGGTCATCCATATATTCATCTTCATCAACTCCGTGACTTTGTGATGCACGGTTTCGCTTTTTATCCACCTCACCATACCATATCCATATTGTATAATTTTGACATATACCATCATAATATAAGTGATGGAATATCTCATTTTCTGTACCTTTATTTATATTCTTGCAATTAACACAAGGACAATAAAATATACCATTATTATTGGGAACATTTTGATTAGCGTATTCAAGGAATTCAAGAACTCTTTTCTCATATACCAAATCTAATATATCAGCTTTCATCCAACTACAATCCATAACAAATTCTAAAATTTATATCAAATCAATATTGTGAACGACACAATAAAATCTAAACCTAAAGCATATCAAAAAAATGAAGCATATTCATAAAAATAATACAACTCTAAATCTTAAGCATATGGATATCTATTGTAGCAAAGTTATAATATTTTTTTCACTGCTAAATCCAACAATGAAACATAAAACATATGAACTTTGCATGAAACAGACGACAAAATCAAACAAGAATGAGGATAGTGAAGATTATCAAGAATTAGGAAGATGAGAAGAGAGTGAAGTTTACGCTAAACATACCGTACTTTGAAGAGGAAGATATCAAGAATGAAGATAGTGAAGACTATCAAGAATGAAGTTTCAAATGAGCGAAGATTGTGAAGATGAAGATTTTGCTATCGCTATCATTTTCATCTCTGGTTCACTAGTTCGCTTAGGGTTATGAAGGAAATAGTGAATCTATTTTGTTTTAACTTTATCAGAAAACCTTTGACCATGTTTATCACATTCAACCGCATAGAAAAATGGATCTTATTACAACGGTTGTATAATAAAACCGTGGTTAAATAATTTTCAATTATTTATTTATTTATGAACTTAAGTGTCATGCGCTTTTTGTAATAGGAAAAAAATATAGTTGCTAGGATTCGAAGCTTGTAACACTTACTTTATCACCATGGTTGTTTACCTCAACTATGATTAAATAACTTTAAAAAAATAAAAAATATATCAGGCGCATCCAATTTACGATATTACAACGGTGGAAAGTCTAACCGTAGTAGTATTATTAGTGTTACCGAAGGTGTATTTTGTAGTAGTGATTATTTTATTAGTCAGATTAAAGTGATGTATTTAATGTAAGGTTAATGGCTAAAGATATAATTGTCATGAGTAATATTGTGTAGATACCAAAAGTCATATTTCTATTTTGTGATGGATAAAAAATTGAATAAGAAAACATGAATAATCACGATCCTTCATGAAAGGGTATGAGATTCTAGACTTGAATAAACATGACCCTTCATAAAAGTGCATGAGATGAATAAACATGACTCTTAATGAAAGGACTTAAGATTCTTATAAATAAGGGATTATGATCCACAATTGTAGATACAAAAAAATATCATAGAATATTTATTCTCTTTATCTCATTGGAAGAGGAACTAAGAATTAAAGAATCTACAATTGGAAGATCATTTCTCTATCAAAATCATTATCTTCTCATTAACCTTTCATGGATCCTAAAGGCACGCTTCTAATTTCTATTTCATCTTGAATTGAGTATGGTTTAAGAAATTATTGATTATTAGAAAATCCCAACAATTGGTATCAGAGTCAATCATACTTGATTCATGTGTGAATTTTAATAAATCTTCATATTAGAATTTTAAATTTTCCATATAATTTTATGTTTTGATTGCTACATATACACGTTCTATATATGTATATATTTATAAGTCAGAGTCATGTGGTGCTAGTTTTCAAATTGTTTCCTCATCTCGTCTTACAATGAAACTTTTGGTGTCTCACTTGAACTTTGTTTTGAAATTTTGGAAAACTTATGCTTGTTTGTGTTATAATTTTGCATTGTTTCCATCTTAGAATTTTTATTTTCATAATAATATAGACTAGTATATATAATTTAGATTCATAATGAGGTATTATATATTCACATCCAATAAAAATATATACTAGTATATATAATTTAGATTTATAACGAGGTACTAGATATTAACAGCCAAGTTGTGCTGGTTTGCATGACTGCGTTCCACACAATTATTTTATCCATTGAATTTGGTAATTTTTTTATGTTCAAATTATTGGTTATGATTTGTCATAATTTTAAATTAAAGTTATTTTATATTTTAAATTATTCTATTGAGACAAGAAATCACCAAAGTGACCATTCTTTTTATGGATTTGATCATGAGAAAAGTTGAATGTTAGTTTGTATGTTTATACACATGAGTATTAATTTTTTCAAAGAAAATATTAACATTTGACAAAATTTACATATGCATATGTGATGATAAATATGTGATGATTATAAGGTTTTAGATGTGAATAATAAATCAATCCAAAGATAGTTTAATTATTTGACAAACATTATTTTTAATATTTTATTATTACAACGAGAGTATCACTAGCAATTAATACTATTATCCAAAGACATTTATATTAATGTTGCACTAGATATCTTGAAATTAATTATGATATTACTTGAGTTTATTTATGATTGATTATTTGAGCATATTTATATTAATTTATTTTGTTTTCTTTATAGTTAATATTGCTACTACATATGGTAATATGAATTCAGTCCCGGTTCTTAATGGTGCAAACTTTAAGGATTGTAAGGAGAAGATTTTAATTGTTCTTGACTGCACGGATTTTGACCTTGCATTAAGGATGAAGCAACCCCATTCTCCTGCAGACTCCACTACTCCTGAGAATAAGAAAAATTATGAGAAGTGGGACCGCTCCAATCGCATGAGTCTTATGATCATAAAGAGTGACATTCTAGAGGCATTTAGAGATAATATATCTGAAAAAATGACAAGTTCCAAAGACTTTCTTGCTGAAATTAAAAAGTGATTTGCTAAAAGTGATAAGGAGGAAACAAACACACCACAAATAATACATTTAGGATCAATATATAATATCCCGAAGCAATTTTATTATTTACTATAAATAATGCATTTCATGATAAAACTTTCACCTCATCCAATCAAAAAACGAGGTAAAATGTCAAGGCACGCTGTGTTTTATTTTATTTTTAATAAATACCACATATTCCCCCGGGTTCTATATATAACCGAGGGAAAAAATAATTCAGTACATGCTTCGAATCCCAATAACATTACTTTATATTTTTATTTATTTAAAAGTGGTGTATTTCTTTTGATTTTTAAATTAATGATCTATTGCTTCAATATATTTAACAATCGAGGGATTAGATGATCAGATTTTACTATAAAAACACTCGTTAATCAGATTTTACCTTAAACCTAACTTATATGTATCTGCTCTAAATTTAAACAAAACTTTTTTTCTACACTTACAATCCATCCCAACATAATGGTGTTGATATTGTTGTTATATTTTTGGAATAACCTTCCTATGTTGTCAATTAAAGAAAACATTGAGAAATTTATTATTTTCATCGATTGAAACATTGAGAAATTTGTTCCTAAACACAATCATCTTGTTCTCTTTCATGTGAAAGCATTTGTCAGGACAACATTTGCTCAAGATCATAAAATCTCTCTAGGATGGATTGCAAGTACATAAATATTTTTTCTCTTGGTTGGAATAGATGACTTATCAGAAATTTGAAAAGGTTTGTTCTTCTCCAATAATCCATTGTCAAGATCTAGATTTTTTTAAATAAATTATTTTAATATTCTGTGTAAATAACATAATTTTAAAAAAAACAAGTTTTTCCCCTCAGATTTTTATAGATATTTGGATGAAAAATATTTAATTGTATTTTTTTATCTAAAAAAACACATTTTACCTCAATTTTGAGTAATAGCCGAGGTAAAATATAAGCATGTTTATTTAGTTTCTTCATCGTACTTAAAAAAATCTTTGATGTCCATTTAATGAGTATCAGCGCTTACCACACTGTCATTAGTGATTCACGTGAATCCTAAAACCCTCGTTATTAAAGTATTTTGAATATTAAAATTTGATAATGAAACATTTGACATGAAAAACTTTGATACTTAACAAAACGTTTATTTTATTTGGTAAATTTTCGTTACAAGAGCATAAAATTATTTGGATTCAAGGTTTGTGTTCTTAAAATATCATATAACTGAAAATTTTATTTTATTTATTTAACATTTTTTGTTTTATATTAGACATTTGATCTTCCTCAAGATCAATGAAATGAGGATCCCCAACATTTGCTATTCTCCAAGATATCCAACATTTGCTCTTCTCCAAGATATCCAATATTTTTTCTTCACCGACAGCAATGTCGTTGAATCAGATTCAACATTTTTACTTTAATATTATATGTAAACAATATAAGATTATGTGTAAACAATGTAGTTTATATACAAATTAATTTATTAATACTCTGTGTAAACAATGTAATGAGTATTTAAAAAAAGAATATATTTTCCCACTCGATTTTGTTAATAAACCGAGTAGTATATGGTGCTAGTTTTTAAAATATAAAAAAAAGCTATTGTTGGGGATCGAACCAATGACCACTTCATCTATCCATTCAGTTATCATAAAATTGAGGGGTAAAGTGTTAAATTTTCATGACGGCCTTCGTTACCTCACCTCTGTAACTGAGGTTTAATCAACTTCACGTCTGAAATTACATGTGTTTTTGTAGTAGTGTTAGGGGTATTTCAGGATAAAAGTTACACGACTCAATGCAAACATGGCTCTTATAGTATGACGGGAAATACAAACTTTAATTGAGAAAGGAAAAGGATGGTTAGAATAATGGTTTAGCTAAATTACACCTTGGTCATTAGGAATGGTAGACAATGAGAGGTTGCTTTGGGTGCGAGTTTATGGTATAACGATTCATGCATGGAATGTGCAGTTTTTCGAGTTAATCAATAAGTCTTTTGGAACCTTTACCAATGCCAACAAGTGCACAACAAAAATTTAACCATTAATGTTACTGGATTTATGGTTAAAACAATGATTCATAAGGTTGTTGACAAATGTATAAAAATAGACATCAATGTCGGAAGATATGTGGAGGAACTATTATGAAACATGTTTTTACCTTGGTTGAAATAGGGATTATGCCTTAGTTGGTGTGGACGAGGTAACATATGGTGTAATGGAAAGTTCCCATTTTTCTCCTTGGTTCATTTTTCCACAAAGTTGAAATAAATAACTTTTCCACTCAGTTGATTTTCCATTGAGGTAACATCAACAGTATAAAACCATTCTCCATGATGGATTGCAAGAGCAAATAAATATTTGATCAAGGTTAGTTTCTCTTCTCTTGTAATATTAATTGCTAA